TATATATATATATATATATATATAATATTATTGTAATCAGTATCCAAATGAAATCCATATTTGGTATGAGTCATAAATAAATAATTTTATCTTCAAATTCATTAGTTTATATTATTAACTTTATAAATTATAGTTGGTAACTATTTAAATTTAGGTGAGAGTGGGTTTTAAACTATTTGACTCAATTAGTTCTTTCAGTTTTTTTTAATTGAGTTCTTTAATATATTTATTTTTAATTGGACTCCTTTATCTAACTTTGTATTACAAATAATTAATTATGATAGTGAATTGTCTAATTTTGGTTAGAACTAGATAGTATAGTGCAACTGGATGACTCTTGTTTACATACTCCATTCTCAACCACACTAATAATTTTGATGACATTAAAGTATTAAATTTTTAATAGTATAATGGCTTATGTACTTAATTGAAATATGTATCAAGACCATTATCGATTTTTAATTAACCATATCACTTTTATTCTTAAAGAGTCACAATGGTTATCACAATTTATCCAACTTTTCAAAAAAGATTCAACTTAATAACAACACAGATTCAATGCTATTGTGAAAACCAGTATCAAAAACAGTCAAAACCTATTTACACATCTAATATAAACAACTCACTACTCAGGATATCTTCTAATAGTTGAAGTGACATATTTAGAGAGTTCTAGTCATAAAAGGAAAATTAATGCATGTAAATCTTGGAATATATGTTGTCTTTTATTTTTTAAATATTGTAACATAAATATTGTCTTAACAAAACAAGATATTTTGATAGATTAAAAATCATACAAAATGAAGCAAAATTGTATGTACATTTTAGTCTCTCTCTTTCAGAAATGTAAAACACATAAAGTTGCATGTAGTCATGTTCAAAATCATACAAATCCTACAACCCTTATTTTTTGTGAAGCCAATAAAAGACTAAAGACTCTGACCAAAAGAAGATGCAAAGAGTAACAAGAAAGCAATTACCAACAATATAAAAAAAAAACTCTTAAATGTACATTGGATGAAACCCTTTCAATGTTAGCATGAACTATTTTGTATTTTGTTTGTAAAGTATCATATTTTCTATGTTGATTGAAATTGATTTTTTGTATTTAGTTTTATAAATATTTATTGATTTAGGAGTGATTTAATAAAAAAAGAATTTTTATGTATCTAAAGATTTAGAGGGAATCTAAAAATACTTGTAAATGAGAATGAAAAAAAAAACTTGGTTTATAATTCAATGGATTAATGAAACCCTACTTTAACTCATATCAATGAATGCTTTTTTCATTGAAAAACGTTAGACTAATATTTGCAAATAAAATACTATTTTCTAATTACACTATCAAATCCCTTTTAATATATTTTAATTATATTCTTCAGTTTTAATTTCACTACAACAATTAATGTGAAACCTAAAGTAATTATTGAAGAAAATGTTTGAATTAACACTTGTATGGTTGAAAATATTGAATCTAGAATCTATGAAATTAAAAAAGAAATATTTACTTGGAGAAATAAAATATTTTACATGAAAAAGTAAGAAGATAACATGAATATATATTCATAATTAGTACAATGTAAAAAGTGATGATAATTGATTTAGAGAATAATTAGATTATTATGATTAATTTTTCACAATCGAACATAATGACCTATAGGTAAAATTGTTAAATATTATTAGTTCAAATATAAATAAGTTCAAATGATTCAAATGTAAAATAATAAAAAAATGTTAAATATTTCAAAGGACATGTGAAATAATTTAACATAAAATAAATCCTTATTCTAGAACAAAGTTTTTTTTTAAAGTTAAATTTGAAGTCTTTTTAAGAAAGTATTTAAGTGGAATGAAATCGTATAAATATTGATTTCAAATGTTATGAAAGTAAATTTTTTGACATTGAGAGGTGAGAATATAGACATGAAAAGGGAAAATATTAACATATTATGAAAAAATTCCAACTCGACAAAAGTAATAATTATGCTAGCTAAATAATCAAATTATATTTTATTTAGTTATATTGTATAGCTGTTAACACAATTTGATACGTTTGATTATAAGTACATAAAGTACAATAACAATTAAAATATATTTATCGTTCTTTTAACTTATGTAGTGCATGACAATAAATTATAACCCATTAGACAAATAAATACTTTCATAAACGTTTAATTGCTTGCTTTGTCCCCAGTTTGGCTGCAACATGTCAAGTTAGTCCACCATTTTAAAAAAGTTTCAATTACGTCCAAACTTGGTTTAAAAGTGTCAATTTCGTTCAAACGTAGTAAAATTTGCATCAATCAAGTCCCTTCCGTTAATTCTACAGAAACGGACGTTAATTTTTCTCTCTCTCCTCTGCTCCTCTGCTCTGTTTCTCTGCGCAACAGCAGACCCTCTCATTTTAATATTTGAATTTAAATGAATAGTTTAGATTAAGAGATACATATAATGTAATTGTTATATATAAAGAGGTTAATTAAAATAGGAAGATAATCAAATGGTTCACATTTCTGGAATGGAAGAGTCTCCATTTACTGTCAAAAGAGAAGGATCCACTCCATAAAAGAAAAGTTTTATTAACAAACTATTTAATTACTAGTTAAAACTGAACTTGATTATTATAAAACAATAATTTTTTAGTTAAACTGTATTTATAAATTATAATAGAAACATGTTTTAAATAGTTTGGAGAGTTATGTATAGACCAATTAAATTAAAAATTATAATTGCAGAAATATCATTTACCTTCTTTAAAATGATGTTAAAGAAGATTTTAATATTATGTGTGACATTTATATGTCCTCTAGATTTAGAATTCACATTCGTCTCAACTATAATTTTAATAAAAATAAAATTAATCTACCTGATATATTTAGTAAACAACACATTTCTCTTATTTTATTTAAAGATATAATATTGAATAAAAATATAAAAAGGTAAAAAATAAAGTTTTAAAAATATAAGCGTATGTTTTATATAAATAAAATACGAAAAAATATTTATTAAAACATAAAGAAAGTAATTTTATTAAAATAAAAGATATTGAAAATTATTTAAAAGTTTTTCGTTCTTTCAAACTTTTCATTGAAATGATTATTTGTTTACACCTTTTTATTTTCTTAAAATATTGATTGACCAAATTAGACACTACCATATAGAATATGATAGACAACTTTTAGTGCAAATGCATTATTTTCATCCCTATAACAAAAATTATAACCGTTGCTTCACTTTGTCATTGTGATCACTATAACTATTCATTTAGTGTATGCAAATATTCAAAAGAAAGAGAGGGTCTCAAAGTAAATATTGGAATACAAATAAATTGCTTTTTATACAGATATTTAAGACAATGAATAAGGCAAACTTCCAGTATAAATACAAAGTTATAGATTTTTCTTCTAAGTATATATTACAAAAGATATTTCATATGAATAAATATTAACTATAAATGAACAAGTCAACAACATAAAGTATAGAAACAAAATAGTAACATAGGAAAGACAATGATATATAGGTTAATAGCCAATTTATTCCTCACTTTGGTTGAAAAAAGTTCTTCAATTTCGTCCCCGTTATAAAATGTTTTGATAGTCCGAAATTGAAAATAGTGGGTCAGATTGGTCCGCTTTGTTAATATAAGAAGGAAATTAATGGAGGAGGTATGTGAACACAACTAAAGCTACGAGGGCCAATCTAACACATCAGCTTTAAGCGGTTGTCACATCATTTCATCCCATTAATTTCTGTTAACTTAAATTTAACGAAAGGGACAAGATTGACCCACTATTTTAAAAGTTAGGACTAATGT